TAATTATAAACCAGAAAATTGAATATATAACTGATATAACTGGCTGATCGTATAACAGTGACATAATCTAAACCAAATCGAAAGCTTTTAAAGTTCATATCTGTGTCCATTCTCTAGAATCATATGCTTTATTCAGTGGCTGGACTGACGAACAGAACGCCGAAAAGTGCGACTTGTCGAATAACTAGAAGCAGCAATGGGAAGTCAATGACTCAAACAATGGAGATGACACAATATTTCTTAGTCTGGCGCTGTATCGGGTGTGGCTGATAATACTTTCCATCCATTGGCATATTTTGCTTCAACTGCCTGGATCAAGGCCGGAGAATAAATAAATTCAAAACTTCGTGATCCTATCTACCTCCTTCATCGAACATTGTATCACCTTAGGAGAATCAACCGTTATTTAAAACACCAAAAACTATCAAGGGAACATACTGAACAATGGATTGGTATACTCTATTAACATGATCACACTGTTAACAAAGGTTCGTAGTGCACCTTACTATATATCGAGGTTAATTAGACTTGCCTTCTTCGTAATCAGATGCACAGTGCCGCTGATTACTGACTTCAGCCCAGTGGCATTCCTAGGGTTAATGAAGAATGATTTCAGGTTAATGTTAATAGTTAGGATCAGCATAATTCCTGCTGAAAAACTGCTGGCCGCATTACTAGAATAACAGTTGTGGCAGTCTGGGTCATAGGTTCTGACTAAGTACAGTCACATGTTATTTCATTATGCGTTGTCCCGGCACAAAAGTACTCGCATGCGGTTTGACTCTACCGACTCAGACAGAACTCTACCAGTGATCCATTTCACCTTTCCCAGCAAGGACTCTGATAATGCCAACGCTGCACGAACAATTACTTACACATAATATTCTGACCTGCTATTAACCTTCTGAATATATATTTTATTGTCTTGTAATATTATAGAGTAATCTTGTGCAAAGATGCGCTTACGCTGGTAGCAACACTTGTTGCACAAGCTAATTGAAGATTAAAAGAAATTCTATCAAGTATGGGAATGCGAAAAAAATAGAAAAGTACTATGTGATTCGATCAAATAAAAAATCCATATCATTAATTCTTCATGGTCAAGTATTTTATAATAAAAATCATCTACGTGATGTTAATTCCATTACTGAATAAACTAAAT